TTTGAACGCAGCCTGAGCTTTGCCAAGAGTGTGCTGCTGTGGATAAGGATAATAAAGACTTCAGTGTGTGATTTATGATGGACACACAGCTCTCTGACCTTTGCATATGTGCGTCTGCGGATATAAATTCAGCTCGACACAGATTGGAGCTTTACAGGACTTTATGACATGCTAAATCTCTACTCGCGCTGTGCCACTCGCTTGTTTTGTGAGGCTAGTTTAGACCCAGCACAACAACACTTTCAAATGCGAGTTTTGGTTTAAGATATGAAGGATATTTTTGGGACGAGGAGAGAGTGTAGAGACATTCAGCTCATCTGTTTTAGTTCTACTTTGTACCGCGCATCTCATTACAGCCAAAGCAAATTCCTAGTTTGTGACTTCCTGTTACTCACATGCCAATAAAAAGGATTCTGATTCTGATTAATTCCTTGGACATAGGTTTTTTTATTCCAATGTGGAAGATTATGGATCCAATAATGTGGTGATGTGCCACCTCCAGAAAGTTACATAATATTATAATACATTTTTTGCTGTTTTTCTGATTAGTGAATGACATTTCAAGATTCAAGAATGCATTTGCCATTTGCAGTAAAAACCACATTGCAAAAGCCCGTGCATGACTACCTCAGTGCAACAACAAAATGCGATTCAAGTTGTTGGACTAAAGGGTTGACAAAATTAGCGCATAATGATTTCATAAAAATATTGAATTCAGGTGCACTATGAACATTAAAATTGTATTGAATCGAGTTAAACCTGGAAAAAGGAAAATAAATGAAATGACAAGCAAGTTATCACTTCAATCTCGCTGTACAAAATAAAACTGGGGAAAAACTATACATGTTTTTTGGGAATTTCTCTGAATTCCATAGATTTTATTGTGAGTTCTAGTAGTTTCAGAATTCTTGGAGTCCCACTGTTCACCCCTAGACCAGCTCCAACAGTCTGCCATGTTATTTCACTTCATCACCAGTATCAGTTCTCTGTTGAAGCATACTCCGTGTTCAGGTGACATAATCCTTATTGCTGTGCATCCTTGGCTTTGATCTTGTGCTGAAGAGTGATACAACTGCATGTACCACGGCGCCTCGGTGAAGTTGTGAGCTTTAAATGGAGAAAAGGAAAAGAAAGCGAGCTGATCTGACGAAGGGTTAATTGATGCCAGTTGAAGTCGGCACGGGGCAACTGATACAGGGTGAGCCGGCTGTCTCAAACATGGCCAACTTGGGCTGTTAGATTGTACAATATTATGCACAGTATTTGAAGCTGGGGTGAATGTTATTATAGATTACAAAAATGAATATATGGACTTGCTCTGAATAAGTGACTTTGGAGAAAAACTGGATATAATAGAGCATTTACCGTTTATTAGGAAGAGATGATTGGAAAATGATTACATATAAATTGGAAAGTGCTGTTTTTTTGCTTCGGAGACAGCAAAGTAGACTAGAATAAAGAACTATATCCACAGTCATCATGTGCAAAAGTGAATGCAAAAGGAGATATCTGCATTTTTAGACAAAAACACAAAGTTTATTATTCTTTATTATTTTGTTCCTTATTGACTTCCATTCATTCGGATATATTTGCATATTCATCAATGTGTGAGCAAACAGCATGCAGATAATTAAAACAATAGTCATAGTAGTTAATATTGTTAATAGCAGTAGGGGATTTACTCAAGCAAAATATATCTGACTTTTGAGAGGCACTGCTTAGCAAAGAGTTATTTGTAATTTTTTTCTTTGACGAGCTTAGAATGAAAAGCACACGAAAGACATAAAAGAGATTCCTGACTGACTAAATCTTATCTTATTTGAAAAAGCATACCGCGTATTTAAGAACTTTATCAAACATCAAATATTCAGGAGGTAACCTTTTCCCCGGCGGCGAACAGAGGAGTGGCTCATTCTTCAGTTTTAGTGCGACTTTGAAGAGCTTGTCCCGGCTGCTCTCAGAAAACCATCTATAACTGTGTAAATAAAACATATCCGCACATCTCACTGCTCCACTGTCGGGATGTTCCAGAGGCCAGCGCCCAATCCACTGCACAATACACATGTTTGAGCCACGCACGGCAAAAATAGTAATATAATTACACATTATATTGTATTGTATGTCCTTTTGGCCCATGAAGTTGAACCTTTATTCTGGCATTTAATTTATTCGAAGGTGAAAATAATATCACAGATGTACATGTTCAGAACCTGTTAATATAAGCACACAGTTATAATGAACAGAATTGGCAGAGGACGTGATCAGAAGTGATCTTGAGACAATGTTTGTTTTAAAAAGTCTGTAACAGATCAGAGAGATTCAACACAGAGTTAGAAGAAAAGGAGACTAAGTGTGGGAAGTTCCTGATATTAAGGTGAACAATTGGAACTCTAATATGTTTTGTAGGTTGTGTAGAGTTAAGGTTAAGATATACTTTATTGTTCCCTGACGTGAAAGTAGCCCATGCTGTCAGGAGCTGTGGTCACAGAGTGGGGCACCTGAGGACCCATGTCAGGATTAGATGTTGATGCTCAGCTTGGTGAGGACCTTTGCTGTGGGCTGTTTCCTATGTTGCATGAATTGTGTGGTGGAGTAAACCGGAGCGCCTGGAGGAAACCCAGTCAGACATGGGGAGAAACATGCAAATTCCACACGGAAAGGTCTGGGTTGGCTCCCGAAATCAAACCCTCTCTGAGTGTCTAGTGCTACCTAAAAGCTCAACTAAAGCTCAGGAGTTAAGCTTTCTTATCGTATCTAATAAAAAACCAACGGCACTCCTCCGGGTGCTCCGGTTTGCCCTACTACTAAATAACATCTACAGGTCCTAAAAAAATATATTCAGAATTCCCAGCAGGACTATCTTGGTTTATTAAAGGTCAAAAACAACGTATGGACAATTTTCAAAAATATATTAAATCAAATAATGTTGGTTTTTTTACATACTGTGACATGTGCTCTGTCCATTAGCGTCCAAAGCGCTTCACCTCTGGGCTTTTCCTCTTTCGGCTCTTGTAAAATATTCATATAAAAAAGTCCATGTTTTGTGAGTGCTGCTGTCTTATGCTGGAGAGTATATGTAGAAAGTATTAACCTTGGGAAAAGCCAGGACAGCGCTGTTATGTCGCATTTATATTTAACAGTGTCCAAAATGCACAGGGTTCAGGCTGAAATCCCTCTTCACATGTCAGAGTCCACAGCGAGGGTTGTGTCAGGATGTTAATGTGCAGAAAAGCAAAAAGACATGTTCTCCCTGAAGAAGCTAGAGTGCATTGTGTTCTGCTTTGTTATCACTACATTTTACAATATGTGTGTTAGGATAGAAAACATGGAGTATAACTTTGTAGGCAATTTACCGCACTGTAGAAAAACATTAAACAAGACCTTTTATTTAGAAGTCTGAAATCGTCTTTCTTTTCTAGTGTATGATAATGACTGTATTGCGGAGGAAGAACCCATGGCTGAGGACGCCGGAGATAACGATACACAGATATAGAAATCTTAGTATTTTTAATAATATAAACTACTTTTGTGCTTTTGAGGAGACCCAAAGATGGTGTAATCTGTAGCCACAGCTGCCCTGGTGTAGACTGACAGAACCATTCACATGCACAGCAGACTCAATCTCATCGTAGGATAGAAAATGTAGATACAATCATTATTGGACCTATCTAATAACAATAAATCAATATTATTATTATTATTGCCACAAGCTTAGTGTCCATTTCCCCTAGATTCGCTCACGTGCTGGAGTTGAACGCTGCACGTAAAGGATCTCTGCTGACTCAGCTGCTCGTCTGCTGGGGAAGCATGTCAATTAGAAACACTGTCGTTTAATTAGGCGTTAATTGAAGCCATAACGTTTGCGTTGTACGAGTGCGCGCCGCCAACAGGTGAATAATCAAACTTGTAATTGCTGTTTACTGCATTGTCGGGGAAAAATGACGTGACAGATTGTCCCTAATCTTTCCAAATTTGGTTTAATTGTGCAGTTTTGACTCCGATAATTGAATCTGCTTTTCCGCCATCATCTTTCCACCGCATAAGCATGTACACATTCAACACGTTTTGTCCCACTGTCAGCAAAATCAATTTTGAAAACATGAACACTACATATTAAGATGCTGGATGGCTGTTTATTCATCTTTTTCACCCGAGCCCCTTTTGATGGTTGAATTGGATTTTACAGCACAACAGTTAAAGGGCCTTATTCAGTCACCATTGAGAACAAAAAGCTCTTATTTTCATTAGACTTTTTTGAAGCATCTGAAATCATTGTGGAACTGGTCATTAGCCGTAACAAGGAGCAGGGCGATCAATTTTCCTGTGTCACTCATTGCACGTTGATTGTTGTAAACATTTCAAGTGGAGGCGGGAAAGGCAGTGGGCAGTCGTGAATCACATAGTTACTAAAGATGTTGCGGCCAGCTCAGCCCTCAGAAGCCCATGCACTATTATTTATTTGCAAGGTTTTGTAGCTGTCAGTTGGAGAAATTCTTCAACATTTAATTCCAGAAACTACAGTGATTGTAGTTTGTAATTGTCAGTCATCATCTCAAAAAATAATCATCATTTAGAATACAAGTCAATATAAAATTATATGTGACAAAAATCAAATTTGAAAATCATTCTTACTTTTTTATCTTTTTTTATGTGACTGATTTTGGATGGGACAAGATTGTGATCATGTTGTCTTACAGCCCAAGCCCAAAGCACCTGCATACAACCCTAGCCATCCAAAAATGTGCTAAAAATGGTGAAAGATGTAGCTGTGCGCTTTAGCAGGCTGATATCTCAATTGTTCTGAAAAACGGAAAAAAATTATATTATATATGTTTTAAATTTGGGAACTGTTCTTGTACCACTTTGGTCTTTCATTCAAAACTCAAAGTCAATCCTGTAAACCATGTCAAATCTTTAAAAGCTCATACCGTACTCAAGGATTAATCTCTCTTCTTTCTTTTCTAGTGTATGATGATGACTCTATTGTGGAGGAAGAACCCATGGCTGAGGACGACGGAGACAACGATACGCAGACAGAAGAGGAGTGTTCGGAGAAAACCAGTCCCAAACTTTCCCCGGAGAATGGCGAAACGGACAACAAAAGCACCCACACATACAGCAACGCCAACTCCCCCGTTAGCCTGCTGTCCAACCAAGAAGCGGAACTCGAGTCCAGGCTCAGCGACTGCAGCGACCGACTGTCCGATTTCAAACCAGCCTCTTCGCCGATGGAAATCCAACGCGAGGACGATGCAAGCCGGGTTTTGAAAAGCAAAGAAGAAAATAATGGAAACAGCTTGGAGAAAATGCGTGCGGCCTATGCAAACTTCTTATCCGACTCGTACTGGACAGGAGTAGATTTGAAAGTAGCCAAAAGCGCGAGCAAAGCTAATTGTGACAGCACGAATGGAGGCGCAACCAATACAGCCAATAACAATAATAATAAAGGAGAATTTGATTGGCACCAGGACGCGCTGTCGAAAACTCTGCAACAAACAGTCTCTCCCAAACCTACGTCGAAACCGAATCTTTTCAGCTCCGTGCATCTTTACCGCCAGAGTGCAAAGCCATGCGGGTCAGTGTTCACAGGAGCTAGCCGGTTTCGTTGTAAGGACTGCAGTGCCGCTTACGACACGCTGGTGGAGCTAACGGTACACATGAACAAAAGTGGCCACTACAAAGACAATAATCACAGCAAACAAGCTAATAACTCCGCATCCTCTTCCAAATCACGGAAGCGCAACCTGCAAGATCTAGAAGGCAAAGAGGATGCGCAAAAAGTGTTAAAATGCATGTTCTGCGGCCATTCGTTTGACTCCTTGCAAGACTTGAGCGTGCATATGATTAAAACAAAGCATTACCAAAAAGTGCCCTTAAAAGAGCCAATCCCAGTTTTAACGCCCAAGTTATTGCCTTCATCGAAAAAGCGTGCTTTCGAAGTTGCAAGGCCGTGCTCTCCAGACTCCACGACAGGAATTGCCGGTTTTACAGATGCGCAGCGTGGAGCTAACACGTCAAACGCTAACAACAATCGCTACGGCTATCAGAACGGAGCAAGCTACACGTGGCAGTTTGAGACGTGCAAGTCGCAGATTCTCAAATGCATGGAATGTGGGAGCTCACACGATACTCTGCAGCAGCTAACCACTCACATGATGGTCACTGGGCATTTCATCAAAGTGACAAACTCTGCTTCCAAAAAAGGTAAACAGCTTGCACTTGATCCGTTGGCAGTTGAAAAAATGCAAGGATTAGCAGAACCGGCTGTGAGTGATTTAGATGGAGAAAAAGCTGTCTCCCCAAAAACCCCAAGTAGTGACAAAGATAGCCAAGGGGATAGTGCTTCAGAGAAAATGGAGGAGACCAAAGATGACAAGACACAGAGCGAAGATCAAAAGCCGGCCAACGGGGCAAGATTTAAATACCCTTATCTAAGAGAGGAAGATTTGGAGAAGGAGTCAGGTGGAGGAGGGGACATACTCAAGTCGTTAGCCAATACCGTTGCCTCTGCAATCAATAAAGCGCAAACGGGAACACCAAGTTGGAGCGCATACCCAAGCATTCATGCTGCCTATCAACTCTCTGGCATTATCAAAAGCCCCCCTCTGTCAACCTCTCCGCCTGCCCAGCTAAAGCACACGTTTAACCACAAGCTGAGACCCATCGCGCCCAAGGGAAAACTCGGCTCTCCTCCCCAGGGGCTGCATCAAAACATGGACATCAAAAGGGAAAAGGTTGGCGATGGTAAAGAAATCCTAAAGTTTGATGCGGGCGAGAACGATGACAGCGATTGTCAAGATGAGGAGTCCTGCTCTTCGAAGCTGGACGTGGATTGTGCGAACGAAGACGTGATCAAAGGCAAGTTGAGCCCAGATTTTACTGACAGGGGCAAGACGCCACCAAGTCCCTGCACTAGCAACGGCCGTGGCACTTCAGAGGCGACCAACGACACGGCGGATATGATGGCAGTTAACCCTCTTAGTGCGCTACAGTCCGTCTTAAACACACATCTAGGCAAAGCTAATAAGCCCAACAACAAGTCCAGGCACGATAAATTAGCAGCTCACGCCCAAGCCATTTTTGCTGACATGAACCGTAGCAGCGAAAAACAATCTCGAATGCTCGGGAGTCCAATGAGAAGAAAACCAGATAATCCATTATTTTTTGTCAACGACGACCAGCCGATAGACTTGACAAAATCAAAGCACAGCAAGCTTAGTTCTTCGCTGTTGCAACCGTCCACGCCAGTCCCTCATAAGTATGCATTGTCTGACATTGCAGACATGGTAAAAGTCTTGCCAAAAGCCACAACGCCAAAGCCCTCGCTCCAATCGCGACTCCCTACGATGAAACTAGAGTCGGACGTCAGACGATTCGAAGACGTGTCTGCCGAGCTCTACTCCGTCCACAAGCGCAAGGGAAGGCAGTCCAATTGGAATCCACGACACCTTCTTATCCTACAAGCTCAATTTGCATCAAGCTTATTCCAGACTTCGGAAGGCAAATACTTACTGTCAGATTTGGGCCCTCAAGAACGCATGCAAATCTCCAAATTCACCGGACTGTCCATGACCACCATAAGCCATTGGTTAGCGAATGTCAAATACCAGTTGCGGAAAACCGGAGGGACAAAGTTCCTTAAAAACATGGATTCAGGTCATCCGGTTTTCTACTGTAATGACTGTGCATCGCAGTTTAGGTCGCCCTCTTCCTTCATTTCACATTTAGAATCACATCTTGGATTCCAAATCAAAGACATGTGTAAAATGCCAGTCGAGCACCACACAAAAGTGGAAGAGCCAGAACTGCCTAAGGCCCTGAGCGCCAGGCCTTCTCCCGATGCGCTGATCTCAGAAGAAGACATTGACACAAAATTCAAATGTAAACTTTGCTGTCGGACATTTGCCAGCAACCATGCGGTCAAACTTCACTTGAGTAAAACGCACAGCAAGTCGCCTGATAACCACTCACAGTTTGTAGAAATGGACAAAGACTAGTCTTTTGATAGGAATGTTTTTATTATTTTATTTTTTACACACGGGTTACATCATTTCACTTTTTATTTGATCTTGTTTGGTAGAGTGGTTCTCAAACTCAGACTTAACTTGGACTATATGTACATATAAAACCGGGCTAAATTCTTATTAAATTCTAAAGGCAGGATTTGCTGCGGTGTGGCCACTTTCATTATATTTCGGGTGCCATAACGTCATGACTATGCATTTCTGTTTTCTTTTTAATAACCCAGAACAAATTATAATGAATAAATGTATTGTTAATATTATGAATATATAACTTTTTTTGTTTCTGAAACAAATCATTCATTTACTAGTAGCAGTAGTAGTAGTAGTAATAATTAGTCCAGAACAAAAATAAAAGAAATGACGTCAAAATTCCACCTAAGCTAGCTTCAACATTTTTAAGTATTTAGTATTATTATTTTTTGCTCTGTTTAGCCACAAGCGACATGTTGATGAACTGATATAAAACATATTTCTTGAATAATGATTTACTTTATATTAATTTGATAGTTAATTATACAAATAAAAGTACTAAAGTTATTATAGAGCTGTTGCACACAGGCACCAGTAGTTCATAACCATTTTTCTTTTTTTTTGCCTTTACACATTTTTAGAAGAAACGTAAACAAAACCACACACAGACAACTTATTCTTACCTGTGAAAGCACCGAACACAACATTAACTTTGCTGATAAACCAACAGGCAAGTACGTTAAAAAGGTTCAAAGGCTCTTGTTCAAACATCTATGCAATTTGTTGAATCCACCTTTTTTTCCGTCTTTCCACATCGACCAAAACTAAACTAATACTACAGCCATAGTCCAAACTAAACGAATGTAATGAATATTGATGAGCTCGCCTCCCACAGTTTGAGAACCACTATGTAATTGTACGTCGTCACTTTTCCATTTCATCCACGCTGGTTTGTAACATGTAATACAGAATAAACACTTGATGAGACACTTTTGCACCCCGCGCCGATGCGTCGCCAGTAATGAATTATATTACTGCTTGAAAAGAAAAAAAAGAAACATTACTGCTGATGTCTGCATGCAATCTCCCTGGTTATGACTACTATTTATTTGTATGATATGTCAATTGTTCTCCGAGTGAAGCGGGATAATGGACTAATTGTAAGTTACATTGTCTCATATATTTACCTGCTGTTCAGACAGATAGGCCTAACACACGCACACACACACACACACACACACACACACACACATTTGTACAGTGTAACGCTTTGTAAAGACTTTTTTGTGTCGCAATGATGGAAGAAAAAAGAAAAAGCACTTTAGTAAACGTTTAATCGCCCGCGCACTGTAAAATAATATCTACATGAGTTTTTTTACTTTAGTTCATTTTTTTGATTGTCGGACAGTTTGGCATTTTTATGACAAACTCTCAGAACTTGCTTCTATGATTTTACTTTCATCCTTCATTATGTGGTAATAAAAAATATCAAAAATATGTTTGAGTAAATATATATAATACATAATTTTCACTCAATTCCACTTTTCATACATGCCAGTATCAAATACAAACTGAAAATGTTTATTGCTAACAAGGTTGTGGTCATACTAAGAACAATAATGATAATAAATGGCCAAATATTTAAACAACAAAGTAATTTTAACTCATGCCAATATTATTTTTTACAGTGTTTTGATTTGGATTCTGTACAAGACTCAAAAACAATTGAAAGGGACAATGTTATTTCACATGTAAATATGTTTTAATGGAAAAATCACACACACGACACTCGAAGGTTCTAAAATAGCAGCATCAAGACAAATGATGTGTGTGATCCCTGCACCTTTTTTACTTATTCAAATAAAGACTTAACATTTGATAAGATCCGCTTGTTTCATTTCTTCTTTAATCAGAGAGACGGAGACAGACGTGGTGCTAAAATTATTCCCCGTACTTAGCGCAACATCTGTTTCACATCTGCAAATGAAGAACAATAGATTCCCTCTTATACATCATCTAAAAATATGGAGCAGCAGTGAGAGGCAGAGACAGACAGGCTCCAGTGAGAGCAGTGTGGAGTCGTGTAAAGTGTTGAAGGTGTTTAACCAGTGGTTTATTTAGGCACACATTAGGTACACATTATATTATTACATAAATGGAATTGGGATTATGTCGGTCAAGATTAATATTAAATGTTTGGGATTATCCTATCACAGGATTCCTGTATCAGGCAGTTTGTATTTAGTAACCTGATAATGAAAGGAAAATATCCAACCCCCGAATGCAATAGCACCATATGTCTTAATTGTCCAAAGCTATTTGCACATGTTTATATTTTAGTGGATGGACAAAACAACATCTGTTCAGAGTTATGGGTACCCATTTCTAATTTAAATATGTTTGTAAAATCATTGTGTTTTTGTTTACAAAATTATGTATGATCACATCAACTGTGCCAAAAATGTTGCCAGTTAAAAGCCCATTGGAACATTGACCTCTGCATTCAACCCTCCCTCTCCTGCCCCAGGGCAGCCTGTCAGAGCAGTGGTCACTGCAGGGAAGTGCCCGAGGACCCAGCTCCAGAGGTTGATCCTCAGCCTCGACAGTGTCCTAACACACACATGTATTGTACACAGACACTGGGGATGTGTCTTGCCCAAGGACACACAGACGGCACCTGTGATATGGTTGAACCTCCGACCTTCAGATCAGAGCACACACTGAACCAACTGGGATCATTTGTTGAAACAACATTACAAGTATATGTATGTTGTTATAATCAATGATAAACGTAGATAATTGTTTTAAGAGTTGTAAACCTCTATTTTTACCTAAACTAGAAAAGCACTCGTAGAGCGCAGACCTTTGCAGAGAGCTTCCTTCTATTCCTTAGAATCCTGCACCCAGACGATGATTCGGGTAACCTCCAAAATGGAATTAGAAGTGGACTGGGCCAGTACACTCGTCTTGCTGCTCACAGACAAACACACAAGATCACTTTACCTCCTTGGGTGGAAGTAAATATGTGACATGTTTATTTCCAAATGCTTTCTCTTTGTGAAGAACTGAAGGAGCTGAATTCAATATTGAAATAACATTTTTAATCAAGCAGCATGAAGATCAAGTAAGAAAGTAGAGGTAAAATCATTTGACAAAGCACTGGAATCTTCTACGTACAACTTCAGAGGACTAAGAGAGAGTGGAGAAAAAATAGGATTTGACCATGGATTTTACAGAATATTTCCTCCAAAAAGAGCTTTGCCACAAATATGTTCAACACTCAACATGCACTTAACAGATTATTGTTCAATTCTGGCTTTGTTTTCCTATAGCGTATAACACATTATTATTCCATCACAGATCACAATCGTGGAGTCAGCTACTATGTCTTTAACACGCTCCCCTCGAGATGCTATCATAACAATTAAACATTTCCGCCAGTGCCATTATGCCGAAGCTATTAAAAATAATTGCTTTCTAAAATCATAAACATTTGATGCAATTCATCTCTTTTCTCGCAATCAAGCCCTTCAATTACCTGCAGCCATCGAATGCCTCTTTTTACAGCGCGGGACCTGACATTTTGATGCTGAATGGGAGAAAGAGGGTTGGGGAGAGACGAGAGGGAGGAGGGGGTAATGGCTGGAATAACATTTTTTGAGGCTCAGTGTTTATTATGTGCAGCCTACTGTTTCTTTGCATTTGTATAAAGAACATGTACAAACAAATCCTCTGAACTGTATAACATGTTTGAATTGTGATTAACTGGACTGTAGCTCTGGCTGTGTAGAGGCTTTTCTATAAGCCGACAGCATCAGAAATCATTTGACTAAATACTTTCATACAAAAACAACATGTTTGCTCAAAGCTTTGTTTTTACTGCAGATCTCGTCTGCTTTTTTGTTTGTTCAGTTCAGATTCAAATCTTCGCCAGACTTCTTTCCTGTTGAGAAATTAGATATGAATCGGATGCTACTGCAGTCCAATACAAAGACAACATGTTCAAAGATGAATGTTCATCCTGCCATGGAAACTACAGAAAACAGCTCCGTCTATGACATCACAGATCAGAGAAATTCTACACAGTGTGTTTTTGTGCTGACATTTCTGATACTGATATGGATGAAACTAAAACAATGCAGCTGTTATTGCAGGAACAATCTTGTAGCATGGTTAAAAACTTGGCTCGTGCCGACCTCTATGGAGGTCTCAAGTGGGCGGAGCTTTCTTGGTTGAGAAAAGGAAAAATTCTCCCATGTAAAAGGGGATTTGGAAATTTAATTATAACAAAAAGACCGCAATAACTTCATTAATATAATGTATAATTCAAACATAAAATTACAACACCCCTGTGTATTGGTGTATTTAAAGCAGGGACCACAGTTTTCAAAAATTGCTATTTAGGATAAACTGGCACTTTTCCATGCATGTGCATTGGCACTGTTCAATTAAATAAAAAAGTACAACTCTTATTTTATTATTTTATTCAGGAACTGTACTACCAGAAACCCCAAACTTGGATGTATCAATATGTGGGTGGGTATTGCTAGCTTAAATGCAGCTTCACAAGCGCTCCATAGAAAATGTTCCTATTGATCTCACTGTCAGCTGACGATTCTCTATTTTGTTTATTAACTTTTTTTTAATTTTGAAATCCAACAGTGTTCTCAGAGTTAATAAATGAATAAATAATACCTTATTAGTTGCACAGTGGTGAAATTAAACGCTTTTATGCAGCCAGCGTTACTCACTCCTGTCCGCTCGCAGGTTGGGGTTCATCTTTTAAACACTTAAAGTGCAGTGCTGCCCTCTACAGTCGATGCTGATTGGTCAGAATGCTCACGTGTTTCTCTGGTCCTGCAGAAATATCACAAATCTACTGTGCAGGACCAGAAGAACCAGAACTGGACACAATGCCCATGGTGCAAACATATGCCACCTTGGATCCCCTGGGCTTGGGTTGGGGTATTTTGTTTGAAATCTGTGCCATGTGTGGTCCCCCT